AAGTTACCAGCTCCGCATTTATGGTACCAACCCCTCGCATGGTTCTGAACACAAGGGATACGCTGAGCAACACTTCGCATGCACTGTTGTACTCTAGCAGATCGCGTGGTGGACAGGGTTACTACTAGTGATTCTGCTCTCCAATCCCGCAGCACTACGATGCCGAGAGGGTACAACTTGCGACAACACCACGGCATGGACCAGCATTCGACAGAAGGTGCATGTATCTGATACAACGCTGCTACAGAAGTAGGACTATGACACGACTGCAACACCACCAACACTTGGTCGTCTTCATACGTGGACGGGATGCGAGTAACATCAGGATGTGCTACTCGAGACTCAACGCATGCTACAGTGTGCCAGCTAGAGCGCCCACCGAAAGGACTGTGCATCTACTCCTCCGCTACAACATCTCAATCACGATCAACACCATCCACGTACCACCTACAGATGCAACCCGCTCACACCACAATACCCGACAAATCCATTTCATCTCCGTTGTCCATCAGCTCTAACACCGAACACGCCACTTGGACATCCAACAGCAAGCAAAAGCACCTGGCTACTCATCACCACAGTTATCCACACCATCATCTCGACATCAGCCATCTTCCATCCAAGCTTCAACCTTGCTTCTGCAGATCTATCCTTATTGAAGCAAAGGTCACTTCATTCAAACTTTCGCTTCTGCCTACCAGCCACTTGGAAGATCCATAACGCCTTCCATACCAGCTTCTTAAACCCTATCAAGACCAAACACACTCTACACCGAATGCCAACCACCGTTGTCGCCCGTGTTCATCCACGACATGGGGCACCGTCGTCATCAGAATGGCACTCTGGCACTTCTTCTTTGCTGGAAGGGTTCTTATACTTCTTAGGCTGTGTCTCTGAATTCGACATGGGTAACGCCCGCCGTCCTCTTCGCGACTACCTTGTCAAGCAGGGTGTTACTTCTACCACCCAGCTTTGAGGGGGGGAAGTGAGAGAGTACGACACCGTTACACCAATTTCCCCTTTTCATATTTCCTCTCTATTTCATTCCTCTTTTTATCCTGATTCATTTGGTATTTATCTCATCTCTTTTGGTTTCCTATTCCTCATTTTCCATTATCCTTTGGTTTATCCCGTTATTATCATTATATCATCGACCAGGCTCGGGATGTACTTGAGCGCTATATCTAGTGTAATCCTGCCGTAATCCCTTAAAGCCAATAGCCTCGCGTGGCTATACGCAGGGTGATTCTATTTTTAGAAGGGTCTATTCCCTTTGGATAGGATAAACCTGGTTACCTGATGTACTCTGGAAGTATAAAAGCACCTTGTACTGATTGATAGTGCAACATTGAGCAAACCTCATTCGATCCTGTGACAGTGGGAGGTACCAAACTTTTACGAGTTTTCGGGTGTGTCGTGCAGTTTCGTCCTCCCACTACAGCACTCAACAAATTTTCGGAACGAGCAACATGGGGGGTACACCTCGGCATCGAAAAACAGTATCACGCATGGAAGATTTTGGATATTCGCTCCAACCGAATCGTCCCCTCACGTGATTGTCTCTTCTATGAAAGACTCACCTTGCCCGTTTTTCGTGCCCACCAGGCAGCAGCTGCCAACCTCGCTAGGCTGTTCGACGGCTCTCGTGCATTTGCAAATGACGAAGCCGAAGCTGATGTACAGGACGAGGCTGTTTCTGAAGCTTCCGAAGCTTCCGCAACTGACATCCCCGAACCTGTCACCTCGACCGGCATACCGGAATTTATTCCTCTTGCAGATGCTGACCAAGATGATGTTCGCGAAGTCCACCTCAGTTACGAACGCGATCGCCAACAGTAGCCGATGCCCGCTGTCTCCGACGAAGCAGTCCGTGTTACACCTGACGAAATTGGGGGGGAAGAAGGACCAGAAGAAATTTTCGCAGGTGCAAACGAAGAACGTCCGCGTTTTACAAAAACAGGATTACAGATACTGGGATTCGCAGTAGCAGTACAGTACAATGACAGTAAAATACCTGAACCGAAAACCATTCGACAAGCTCTTACGAGTCCTCACCGAGAAAAGTGGCACGAAGCCATGGACAGAGAGCTAGCAGCTCTCAAGAATCGTGGCACATGGGATTTAATACCGACTTCAGAAGTACAAGGGAAGAAGGTACTTACTCGAAAATGGGTCTTCCGCGTCAAGACTAATGCAGATGGGTCGTTTGAGAAATTCAAGGCGCGATGGGTTGTCCGCGGGTTCGAGCAGACTTACGGCATTGACAACGAGCTGACTTTTGCTCCCGTCAGTCGACATACGAGCGTTCGGATTTTACTCTGTGTCGCCGTCTGTCGTAATCTACGACTTCGACAAATCGACGTGTAAAATGTGTTTCTCTACGCGCCCGTCGACGCACTCATCCTGGTAGAGTACCCGCACTCATACACCACTAATCCACCGAGCGTTTGCCGTCTCAGAAAATCACTATACGGCATTAAACAGGCACCACGGCTCTGGCAGCAGTACCTTCACTCACAGCTTATCACTGCCGGATTTCGTCAGCTACCGCATGACCAGGGAATGTATCTTCTGACTGACGGCATCCACTATATTTTACTCGTCCTTACGTCGACGACATTCTGTACGTCAGCACTACTGATTCGCTCGCCGATACCTTCATACTGAAACTACAGGAAAATCTACAGCTTACCGTCTCCGAAACAGTCTCACAGTTTCTTGGTCTAAACATTACCTGCTCACCGACGTCTATTCGCCTCACCACTTCGAAGTACGCAGCGACGCTCGCTACCCGCTTCAACCTCACTCCTACTGCAGTCTCTACACCGTACCGCTCACCACCGACTGACCACAAACCGAACACTGCACCGTTAAATTCAACCGGTTTACAGATCTATCAACTGCAGCCAGGCTGTCTACTCTTCGTCGTTGTCACTTGTCGTCCCGATCTAGCTTACGCGGCCAGTCAGCTCGCTCAGTTCCTACGCCGACCTGAAGAAGAACATCAACTCGATCTTCTTCGTACGCTTCAGTATTTTATCTCGCCACCTGACGTCGGTTTAGTCTACAACGTCATCGGTTGCAAAACACTATACCTACACGGTTTCGTCGACGCCGATCACACTGCTGACTCTACTAATCGACGGTCGCGCACTGGATTCATCTACCGGCTTGAACCTATCGGACCTATTTCTTGGAATTCAACGAAGCAGGAGTTGATTGCTCTCTCCTCTGCTGAAGCTGAATTTATTGCTGTCTGCACAGCAACACGCGAAGGACTTTACCTACAGGAACTATTGGAAGAAGCGAAGTTGACGACAACTACCCAGTTTACCCTGCAGTGCGACAACCAAAGTGCAACTCGCATCGCGCACCAGCCTGGCTTCGTCAACAGGACGAAACATATTTCTCTGCGTTACTTTCTCGTCAAGGATGAAGTCGAGAAGGGGAGGATGCGATTGGTCTACTATTCGACCAACGAAATGGCTGTCGATTTCCTCACGAAGAAGCTGACACGACAGAAGTTTCAATACTGTAACAAGCTTTGCAGGATCTTCAAGAAGTGACACTATCGAACTTCCAGAAATGAAGGGGAGTGTTGTGGTATAATTCATACGTAGCATTTATGTAAGTCATTTATTGATAGATAGTGTCGAATCTTACTGTAGAAGATAAGTCCGTGGGATAACGTCAACACATAGCGCTTGTCATAGGACAGTCGTTTCAGTCACATGAACAGTCGTACCTCTTCATTATCATTTAGGGCGCACAGCGCGATAGTGACGAATAGGTACATTAGCAAACATGTATTTTCATGTAATTATAAATCCTTGTAATGCCTTTTCTTTATTAACTTTGATTATCTACAAGTTCACGTTTTCCAGGTTATTCAACCTTGACTATCACATTTTACAAGACTTCCACTGTCTTACTAGTCTACCATTCCAGTAAAGATCCTAGGCTAACACTTGAGGTTTTCCAAGTGTTCGTGTTTGCAGATTCTATACTTAGTCTCCTACAACACCTGTCAAAATATTACACCACCAACTCTAGATCCTGGCCATCCTAAACACGTGGTTTAATTCTACACCCTGCAGATGGTTCACCCAAAGGGCATGACATCTATGGAGAACGAAGCATAACGTGTATATGGATACTGATAGAAAGAGTATACAAGGCATGCAAATTTATTAGTGGGTCCTACGTGTGAATTATGCTAAATTCTTGCAAGTAGGATTGTGTGTTGGGTCTTCCTATTTAATCCGCTGTGAACATAGCATCCTTTTGTAACTCGTGAAGATTGCCATTTACTCTCTAAGGTAGCGGTATACATATGTGCTTACTCGTTACATGTAGCTGCACAGATTACAGAAGGGTATCAAGGTGGATGAATGCAGACTGTAGCAAGGAAGTAGACGAGGATAGGGCACGTGGCACGCAGTGATTCAGCGCATTATCCCTGCTCATCCACTCCCTTGAACCGTCAGCTCCACGCGTCGGATCGGATCCCCTCAGCCGACTGGCCCTCATTCCACTAAGCGCGACCTTTCCGCCAACTCCCACTCCCAGTTCCCCCAGACCCCGCTTTGATTTTGGGCTCACCCAATCTCCCCCAGCGCGACTCGCCATTTCCTCTGGATGGAGTCTCCCCCTCCGCCCTTGCCCACATTGCGCCCTTCTCGGTACAGATCTGCCTCTCAAATTTTCAACCAGCCCATCCCGTGCGCGCTGCGCCCTCACCTGGCCTTCCGCCATATCCCCACCTCCCCTTCCTCCCCGCCGCGCGCGCTTCTGCCTCGTGTGATCTCATCCTGATCCCTCACATCCCGCCACCTCATCCAATGCGCGCTGCACAGCTGCCATCTCATCTCCGCCCTGCCGCTTACGCGTCACACATTGCGCTGCTGTCACCGCCTCGTTGCTCCACTGCTGCTCGTACTGAGTGTGATGTACGCCACTAAGATTGTCACTCAGCACAACCCTTCAGCAGCTCCTGCATGCTAGCCAGTGCTCTGTTGGTAGAGTCTCACTACTGGCAGCTGCGAGCTGCCTCAGATACGACCGCTTTTCCCACGAGCACTGACGGTTCGTCCTAACTGATCCCACCCTATCCGTATCCCTCTCTCGTTTCGTGAATTTACCTCACACGGCGACTCGACGCTCTCCGAGTCTCTAATCTGGTCCGGTTCGTATTCGTCCGGAGAAATTAGCCGATCCATGGCGACACTCACAGCGCATGGATCGCTAGCGCTGCGATCGTCGTCAGCCCTGTGCGAAGCGAGCTCGCATCCCTCATCGAGGCCCTTCGCCGCTTCCGCCGCTCGCCCCGTCGCGTCTCTCTCGCTGCGATCGCCGTTCCTTCACTCCAGATGGCCAGCTGCTGCTGCTGCTGCCGCTGCTGCTGGTGCCTCGCGGGTAGGGGAGCATGCATCAGCATCGCGACGCGCTGCCTCGCGAGTGAGAGCAGCGGCGGATGCGGAGAACCCTCAATCAGCCGATCACAAACGGCCGAATGAAACCGAGCAGTCTGTCCGCGTTACGCTAAGGTGAGAAGCGGGTCAGGGTTTTGGTTCCCCTGTAGCATTTTTGGGGGGCGGGGAGGAGTGGGGGTAGGGGGGGGGGGGGGGGGAGGGAAGGAGAGGGGGGGGAGAGAGAAATTAGACTGGCGATTAGTGCCCTAAAACCCTGGTGCTGAGTGTTTTTGGTATCGTGACCTGCCCGATCTGCTTTAAAACTTCAAGAATTTCGAGTCTTACTATCCTTGCCTGTATGCGCATGGCGCGCCGGTATCGGATCCGTCCTGCACGAGCTTCCGAACTAGTATATAGTCGACCTATAAGCTGATCCGTGCAACCAACCTACCGACTCTTGCACATGCACACTATAACACTGATTAGCACAGGCAGCCTCTCGACGCCTGACCAATACTCTGCTCCGTAGCCGGTCTCTCGCTTGCGCGCCTCTATCTCCCCTTGCGCGCCCCCATCTCCCCTTGCGCGCCCCCATCTCCCCTTGCGCGCCTCTATCTCCCCTTGCGCGCCTCTATCTGCGCCTCTACCTCCCCCTTATCACCATGCCTTCAGCCTGCTGCCTCGTCCCTTCTCCGCGCCACCACAGACGGATCCGGTCCTCGCCCTGATGTATTTGCCGTGTGTATTGAGTCGATTTTTGAGTCGACTCAAAAGTCGACTCATTACACACGTATTTTAGTCCACTCAAAATTCAACCTGATCACCGCGATTCAGACATTCAGGCGTTCAGGCGTTCAGGCTGGCTGCCTTTTCGCCAGTCCACTCGACGCGTTCCAGACTTGCTTTTCCTCCCTTCCCCCTCCCCTTCCCCCTCCCCTTCCCCCTCCCCTTCCCCCTCCCCTTCCCCCTCCCCTTCCCCCTCCCCTTCCCCCTCCCCTTCCCCCTCCCCTTTCCCCTCCCCTTCCCCCTCCCCTTCCCCCTCCGCCCCATCTCCCCGTCCCCTTTCCCCCTCCCCTCCGCGCGTGCCCGCAGTTCACCCCAGCGCGTACCGCTGCGGGCCGTCGAGCGCGTGGCGCGAGAAGCCGTGGCGGCCGTGCAGCTCTTCTGCGCCGACGCCAAACGAGTATGTTTGCTTGCCCGCCTGCCCGACTGCCCGCCTGCCCGACTGCCCGACTGCCCGCCTGCCCGACTGCCCGACTGCCCGACTGCCCGACTGCCCAACTGCCCGACTGCCCGACTGCCCGCCTGCCCGACTGCCCGACTGCCCGCCTGCCCGACTGCCCGCCTGCCCGACTGCCCACCTGCCCGCCTGCCTGCTTTCCTGCGTTCTACGCCTGGCTCGCGCTCTCTTCCTTCCGCTGAACCCTCACCCTCCGCGATTCCCTCCTCGGTCGCCGCCTGATCACTGATCGCCGTCAGCATTTTCTGGCGCCCCGAATACCTCCCCTTGGTTTTAGATTCTGTGTGTTTTATCCCACTCTTCCCTCTCCCACTCCCTTTCCGCTTTCGTTCTATTATTTCTTTCGCTTCTTCCTTTCTGCGCTTTCCGAGTTCCACTGTGGATCACGTTTGCGACTGTCGCTCTCTTCTCTGTCTCTCCTTCGTTGGAAGCGTTTGATTTCGCAAAAATAATAATGTTAACTCCACGCTCGCACGAATAACGCGCAGAAACCAGATGAACACACACCACAACATTCAGAAAAGCTTGCGGTATTACGGGCAGGGTGCAGCGATATTTTTGACAGCTTGCGCCTTGGAGCACCGAAGCTCGGTTCCTAGGGCAACGAGCTTACGAGTGCCATGTGGAGTAGAACCCAACCCACATGGTCACTGTTCACCGGTCACTGGTCTTAAATGCGCTTTCCTTGTGAGGTGTCTTGGGAGCGGTGATCGGCTGCTGGTCGCTTCTCGGACCAGTGGCCTGCTGCTAGCGCTGCTGCTGCTGCTGCTGCTGTCGCTGTCGCGGCCGCGGTTGCTGCTGCTGTGGTGCTGGTGGTGGTGGCGGCAGTGCTGGTCGCTGCAGGACTGCCCTCTGCACCCATGCAACCTTCGCATCCGCACTCCCAATTCACCCGCCCGCCCGCCCACCCGCCCGCCCGCACGTCCGCACGCCCAATCCGATCCGCCCCGTCCGATTTACTGAGCTGCTTGTTTTGCAGCAACCTCATACCCAGTGACTTTTGAGTCGACTCAAAAGTCAACCTCATACCCCCCTTGCGAGAACGAACTTCACCAGCAACTCAGCAACCTGATCTCCCCGTGCGTGGCTTGGTGCCCCACTCCTCCCCCCCCCCCTCGTGGCATGTGAGCTTGCATGGCACCTGTCCATCCATGTATGCGTGCCGTTGTACGGGCTGCCAGCAAAGCAATCGTCTGCTCGCGTCTATGTCACCCCTCATACTTCTCACCCCTCCACCTCTGTTCCCGTCCCGTCCCCTTCCCTCCCTCCCCTCCCTTAACACCCCTCCCACCTCCTTTCCCCCCCCCTCCCCGCCCCTCTCTCTCCCCCCCCTCCCAGGTGAAGCTCGCCCTGGCGTGTGCAGCAGCAGCGGCAGCCACAGCCCTCTTCTACATCCGCCCGCCTCCCTCCCTCGCCTTCACTGCCGCTCCCGCCACCAATTTCGCCGGCGCCCACGCCGCCACCGCCACCTCCTCAGCAGCGTTAGCAGCGGGCCACTGGTCCGAGGTCGTGCGCGCCGCGTGGACGGGGCTCGTGGCCGGGTGCCTGCACACGCTCACCGGCCCAGACCACCTGGCGGCTCTCGCGCCGCTCACCATCGGGCGCAGTCGCGTGCAGTCGGCGGTGATCGGCGCGCTGTGGGGGTGCGGGCACGACGCGGGGCAGGTGATGTTCGGTGTCCTCTTCCTCCTCCTCAAGGACAAGCTCCACTTGGACTTGCTGCGCGTGTGGGGGTCCCGGATCGTCGGGGCGACGCTGCTCGCCATCGGCGCGCTGGGGATCTATGAGGCGCAGCATGCCACCGAGGAGGAGCTCGCGGCTGTGGCGCGGGGGGAGGGCGAGGGGGAGGCGGCGCTGGTGGCGTCTGGCGGCAGCGCACTAGCAGCAGCCGGAGCAGCAGCAGCGGGGGGGAGCAGCTCGGTGGTGGGGCCGAAAGCCCACTTCGGCATAGCGACGTTCGTGACGGGAGTGGTCCACGGGTTGCAGCCTGACGCGCTGCTGGTGGTCCTCCCGGCGCTGGCGATGCCGTCGAGAGCGGCGGGGGCGGCGTTCCTGGTGCTGTTCCTGCTGGGAACGGTGCTGGCCATGGGCAGCTACACGGCGTTCATCGGGTCGTGCAGCAGCGCGCTCAAGGAGAGGGTTCCTGGGTTCACAAAGGGGCTCTCGTGGGTCGCCGCGCTCATGGCTATTGCGCTCGGCCTGGCGATTCTGCTGGGAGAGGTGCTGGGCTTCCAGCTGTTCTGAGGTGTTGGGAGGGAGACTGTGTCGGCTGTTTAGAGGCGCTCGGAAAGAAGATGCATGCTCATGGGGACATGCTTTGAGAAGGGCGGGTGGCTGGAGAGTGGGGAATGGAGAAAGGTGGGTGGTGCTGGGGCCAATGCGGGATCCTGGCTTTGGGGCGCAGTTGGAATGTGGGAGCCATGTGTAGGACCTTGGAATGCAGAACGGAGCAGTGGAAAAGGGGGGGGGGAGGAGATGTTGAAGACTGGAGTTTTTTCCGCCAGCATGCGCGGACATGAAGGGGGTGGGAGTGCGGTGGGGATGCTCTACGGTAGGGGAGGGAGGTGGGGGGGGGGGTGGGGTGGGGAGGTGCAGAGGAAGACATTGGGTAGCACGATCAGATATGGCAGGAGAGGCAGGGGGAACGGAGCAAGGGAGAGACGAGAAAGAAAAGAGCTGTTCAGCAGCAGGGGGCAGAGGAGCCTTCGGTGGTCGGCTCCTTGCTCCTGAGGGGATTGAAGGAAGGGCTGTAGGTGAAGAGCTGGAGGGGGCGCAGGGCAGCAGGGCAGCAGGGCAGCAGGGTAGTAGGGCAGTAGGGCAGTAAGGGGGGGGGGAAGGATGAGGACTGATGGATATGCAAGCAGCCAGTCTTGTAATGGCGACTGGTCTTAGTATCTGCCTGCACTAGTTGGGTCAGAGGAGGAAAGACTAGTGCAGGCCAATCGGATGCTCCATCTGCCCAGGTTCCCACTAGCTGCCAATCGGATTACTGGACTCTAAGCTTGATTCTGTTCAGCTGAGGCGCTACAGAGATTAGGTTTGTGTGTGCTCCTCACCGGTTCCTATCCCAGCGTGACCCCTACACTTCCGCACCATATTCTCTCCGTCCATTCCTAAGCTCCCCTGGCTCCACTTGGTCTCCCCCGCATGCCTCTGGCCCGAACCTGTTGCATCACACCGGCCCAAGCCCGGTTATGTCGTTCATAAATGGACATGTAGGATCTCGCCTCCACTCCCATGCTTGTTTTCTTTAGTACTTCAGACAAGTGAAGGCACAATATTCATTTGATGTATCTCACCAATTTGCTTTATTCACCAAGTAGGTAAGATGATTGGGTAATCTTACCCAATTCATAATATACTTCAGCACCACCATTGTGAGGAGAATGAGACCGAAGTGCAGCGCTTCGCACCGTTTTGGTCGCATGGTGCACCGCATTGGAGCGCGCTGCTGACTTTCCAGAAATTTGCATGCGAAGCACGCCTTTCCACGCGGCGAAGGCAGAGGCGGTCATGGCGGCATTGCGCTTCGAGTAGAGAAGCCATGGCGAACTACTACGCGCCGACTGCTCGACCTTCCCATGCACAGCCACGCCGCAGAAGGTCGACCTATTTCTCCTCCACACTGCTGTTGCTGGCGTGATGTGTGTAGGAGGGATGGTTGTACCGCAAGGTACTACTACGCGTGTTGTGGCGGGATAGTTATATTAGAATCTCTTGGGAAAACTAACCCTCTGGGTTGATAGTCGTCGTTCGAGCACACGCGAGTCCTTTCTCTTTCAGCGTCTCGTTTTCTGATAGGAGATTGGCGACCTGTCTTGTCTCCGCACAATCTGCTCTCTCTCTCTCTCTCTCTCTCAGCTCTCGGATTCACATCTACCACGGCTGCCATATCTGCCAAAGCTACCTGGGTTAAAAACTCTCAAGCTGAGTTACCCCGTCACCATGATGTTGTCGAAGCAGGTAATCTACGGTCCGAGAGGCGCGTTCTTGCTTCCGTTCGTGGTTGCGTTCTTGCTTGCGTTCGTGGTTGCGTTCTTGCTTGCGTTCTTGCTTGCGTTCGTGGTTGCGTTCTTTGCTTGCGTTCGTGCTGCTGTCATCGTTGTGCTCCTTTGGTCAGAGACGTGTCTTGCGGATCCGTTCGTCGGAACGTGTCTTGCTGTGAATTCAGAAGATTTCGCAACTGACGGCTTCTCATTTTCTTACCCTGCAGAGCGGCATGCGACAGCTTGCCAGGATTATCGGCCTCTCAGGCCGCTCCTGCGTCACTTCCGCGCCCGCCGGCGCTTCTCACGCGCCAGCCGTCTCCCGCGCTACTCCTAGCAGCATCGTCACTCCGAATCCGACCAATCACCACGGAGCCGCGTTCTCTCCCTTCAACCTGACTTGCCTGCGCGGGATTTCCGCCAGCTCCGCGGCCGCGCGCCCGCCCGGCGCGACAGTGCGCGCGTCCATGGAGAATGTGGAGACGATGACCATGTCGGACGCGGAGATCCGCGCGCTCGGCGCAAAGAAGCGCCCCCCGGGGGAGTACCCTGGCGGGCCGCTGCACCAGCAGGGCCGACTGAGCGGCTGGTTAGTATTCCTTTTCCTGCCGGCCAAAAAAAGGCCTGTTTTAGTGCGGACGTAAACCTGTTACCAGTGCTACTAGTGCGGAAGCTAACACTCCAGCTCTTGTGTTGCTCCCTTACAGGTTCAAGCCGGAGCTGAGGCCACTGTACCCGCTGTTCGCCATGGTGACTCTCGGGCTGGGCCTGGCCGTTTGGACCATGGCGCGCGAGCTGGGCAAGGACCCCAAGGTGATGGTCAACAAGACGCGCCGCCAGCAGATGTTGTTCGAAATCGACGACCCGCAGACGATCGTCAAGGAGTCGGACAGGTTCCTCAACGACAATGCGCTGAGGAAACTGGCCTACAAGGTGTGTGCAAAACAGCGAAGAACCATAAACTGAAACTGTGCCAGCCGGGAATCGAACCCGGGTCTGCACCGGGCACATGGCAGGGTGCTATTCTACCACTAGACCACTGGCACGCTTCCATGTCTACAAGGTTTCCGGTTTTGTTTTTCTCTGGTTTCTGTTTTCTATTTCAGGAAAATGGTTGGGTCGGCTTCGTCAAGCGCACATTCTACGAGCCACCGCAACTTCCGGGGGACGACACTGCTGTTGTGGGGACTGCGGGTGTCCAGGGCCCTTTCGGGGCGCGTTCCCAGGCGCAGTAATCCACCAAAATCGGGACCCAATCTGTGGTTGGACTTCTGGAGAAGGGTGGATTTTTTTTTTCTTCTGTATATATATTCGAATGATGGATGTGGATGCTTGTGAATTTCATGTAGTAGCCATGAAATAGGAATGCTTTGTATGGATAAATATCGTAAGAAATAGCAGAATGGCTCGTGTATCATCCCGAACAATGCACCTGCTAGTGTGTCGAAGAACGGGTGAGCTAGAACTTCCAAAAGGTTCGCGGGCATCGATTCAGGGTGATCATCAAACGTACAAACAATCACGAAAAGTTATTTGTTTTCGTTAACTTAACGACGTTATTTCGCAGCAGGTCGCTCGGTAAACGACATTGGTAACTTTTACTGGGCATGGATCACAGGCCGGTGCTGATCGATGCTAGCGTCGGTATTTTCTGGGGATGCCCGTGAATACAAGAAAAATAGACACGCCCTAAGAACATAATATTTTATATGATTGATTACCCGTTTCTGGGTGAAGTACGTGAGCCCCATGTGAACCTGATGTATACACCCCCGCGTTGCACCTTATGGGCAGTCATTCTGGGCGGCAAATAACCACCTTGCGCAAGTCACTTCCCTGAAGCCTGCTGAACCAATTTCCCGTCCATGGTGCCACGCCGCGCCTTCCCGCGCGGCTTGACGGCCAATCGGTCTTCGCGGCAGCGAGCAGCGAAGGGCGGTTCTTCGTCAGACGCGGTAAAACCCGCGGGCCGTGCGCGAGAGCTTGTCGAAGCGCTCTCGTCGACGACGGGCCTGTCGCTCGACGTCGCGAACCTGTCGCAGCTGAAGCGACTCGTGCGACAAGACGACGACTGTATGCGCGCCGCATTCGACGCAATCATGACGCGACTCGAGAATAAGCACGCGCAGATCCGCCTTTTGCTGCTCCTCGTTATAGACTACCTCTTTATGCGCTCCCGCATTTTCCGCCACCTCCTTCTCCCCGCGCATCTCCTCCCCTTCCTCCGCCTCACACTAGGCATCCACCCAGCATTCCCCCTCCCCCCGCCCGCCGCCCGCGCCTCCCTCCTCCGCGCGCGCACGCTCGAGTGCCTACAAGCCTGGGCGGCAGCTTTTGTCGCTTACTACCCGTCCCTGGGCATGGCTTTGCGCTACCTGGGGGGAACGCTCAAGCTCCCCCTGCCGCAGGGGGGAACCGCGGGGGAGCGCGCGGGGGTGGAGGGCGCGCGGGAGAGGGAGCGGAGGGAGAGGGCCGCGCGGGTGCATACAGCGCAGCTGGCGCGATATGAGAGGGCGCGCGCGGAGTGGGGGGAGTGGGGGGAAGAGATGAGGGGAGCTGTGGGGGAAATGGATGCGGTGATTAGAGTGCTGGAAGGGGGAGGGGGGGAGGAAGAGGGGGAGGGGAGAGTAGGAGCAGGAGAGGGAGGAGCAGGAAGAGGAGGAGGTGGAGGGTTGGGAGAGACGAGAGAGAGGGAGAAGAGCGAGCCAGCGGACAAGCCCGCTTTAACTGAGGGGAGGCGTGGAGAGGAAAGCTGTGGAGAGGAAAGCGGTGGAGAGGAGAGGTGGGGAGAAGACGAAGATGGATTTGCTGTTGACGATGGCGTGTGCTGGGAGGGGTTCGGGCGCGCTGACCTGCGCACCATATCCCAGCGCACAGAGGCCCACGCCCGCCTCTCCCATCGACTCCTCGCAGCACAAGCGCGCTCAGACAACCCTGGCCCAGGCTCCAACCCCGGCCTCGACCCCAGCCTCGGCCCGAGCCTCGGCCTTGGCCTGGTGCGGCGGCTGTCCGCCCTAGCCGGCACGGTGCAGGGGCGGTATCTGGTTATGAGCCAGGAGTGGGTGCACGCGTTGACCAGGGTTGACCCGCTGGACCCCGGGAGCAGGGATGAGGTGCTGAGAGCTGTGATTGCGGTGAGGGGGGAGATGAAGGGCGTTCTGGAGCGGTGCCGGGCGGTGGGGGTGACATGGGAGGTGAGGGAGGAGGGAGGGGAGGAGGGAGGGGAGAAGGAGGGGGAGGATGAAGGGGAAGAGGACGTGGAGTGGGAGGAGGGTGGCGGTAACGAGCTCACAGGTGGTGATGGTGGTGATGCTGATGCTGATGTTGGTGGTGGTGGTAAGAGGAAGGTTGGGGATGTGGAGAGTGATGGTTTCACGGGTGTTAAAAGAAAGCACCATGAGAAGCAGCAGCAGACGCAGGAGCAGCAGCAGGAGGTTGAAGGAGCGGACCTGGAGCACGAGAATTCACCACCATCACTAACAGCAGCACCATTAGCCGCAGTAGCAGCAGCAGCAGCAGCAGCAGCAGCAGCAGCATCAGCGTCCGAATCAGAGGCAGAGGAGCAGCAGGGCGTGCGGTCCCAGCTGTTAAAGCAAGCGCCACAGCTACCCTGGGGGCCGCACCTGCTGCTGTGGGGCGAGGAGGAGGCCGGCAGCATGCTGGCCAACCAGAGGGGGCTCAGCGTGAGCAACCACTGGGGCCCGGTGGACGATAGTGCGTGCGTGCCCGCTCAGCGGGTGAGGGAGCTCATGGGGCTCCAGGTTAGCTACTATGAGCCACCTAAAGGGGGGGCGGGGGTTGCGGAGAGGAGGGTGGAGAGTGGGAAGGGGGGCGGCACCGATGGGAGAACGAAGGGGGTGGGGGGAAAAGGGGAGGAGAGGGATGGGAGCGAGGAGATGAGAGGGGAGGAGGGGTCGGATGGGAGGGAGGAGAGTGAGGAGGGGGAGGGTAGGGAGGGGAATCCCGTAAGGGAGGAGAGGCTTGAGTCGGTGAAGAGGGGGAAGAGGCTGAGGGAGGGGGAGGGGTTGGAGGGAGGGCATGGTGGGGGTAGTGGTGGGGGTGGTGGTGGGGATGGTGGTGGGGGTGGTGGTGGGGATGGTGGTGGGGACGTTGAGGGAGAAGGGTTGGAGGTGAGGGAGGTGGTGAGTGGGCCATTGGATTGTGGGTTCGTTGGGAGGGTGAGTGGGAGAGAGAGTGTGCTTGCGAGTGGGGAAGTGAGTGGATGCAGGATGGGGGGAGTGAGTGAGGGAAAGGGTAAGGGAGGGAGTGCTGGAGTGAGTGAGAAAGAGGGTGGAAGGTTGCAGGGAGGGTTGAATCCGAGTAAGGCAGTGGGATCAGATGGGGTGCTGAGTGAGGCGCTGCAGCGGCAGCTGGGGAGGCAGGCCGTGTGGAATGTGAGGCGCAGGGAGAGGCAGGGGGAGAGGCAAGGGGGAGGCAGGAAGTGCGAGGGGCGTGATGGGGGCGGGCTGGGTATGGTTGGTGGTGGTGATGGTGGTGGGGACAGGCGTAGACAAAGTTCTTGGGCGGAAGGGAGGGAGGGAGAGAGCAGAGAGGGAGTGCAGGAGACTGGAGGGAAGGATAAGGGAGGGAATGATGTTGAGGCGTTGAGTGAGAGGAGGCTGGAAGCTAGTGCGAATGCTGTGAGGGGTGATGCTGCGAGGGTAGGAGAGGGGACGAGTAGCGACTGGGGAGTGGGTGAGAAACTTGCAGAGACAGAGAGTGGAGGGGACAGAGGGGAAGGAGGAGCACAGAGAAACGGAGGAGCACGCAGCTTGCTGGATTGGTACGGAGGGGAGAGAAGGACGCAAGCGGAGGATGGGCGCAGCTTGCTGGGTATGCGTGTGCCCATGAGCGTGAGCGAGAGCCGCAGGTTGGGGGTGGAGAGGCGGAGGGCCGTGCTGCGAATATCAGCCAATCTCAAGAGGCGTGCTCTGCTGCTGGGAGGAGGGGGAGACGTGCCACCACGACCAGCTAGGCTTGCCGAGCCCAGAGAAGCTGCTGGCAGGTGCGAGGAGCAGCAAGGATATGCGTTTGGAGATGCGATGGGGGGTGGCGGTGGCGGTGGTGGGGGCAGTGGGGCAGAGGGGATGGAAGGAAGGTGCGAGGCGGGGCAAAGGGAGCAGTGGAGACTGCGAAAGGAGTGCAAGGAGCGAGAAGAACAAGCAGGAGCAAGGGGAGGCGTGGGCGCTCGCATCCGTGCGCACAACGATGCGGTGCTCACGGCCGCAGAGGCGAGGGGCAAGGGGGGTGTGTGCGGGGGGGGAGGAGCAGCGGGGGAGGGCGACCCGTGGGGTTGTGGGCTTAAGGGTGAGCAGAGGGTGGTGCTTAGTGGAGGGATGGGGAGCAGTGTGGGGATTAGTGTGGCAGGCAGTGTGGAAGATGGTGGAGGTGTTGGGATACGAGTGGGTCTAGATGGTGGTGTAGAGGTGTTCACTGGTGGTTACAGTGAGGGGGCAGGGGCTGGAAGTGGAGGCGGGGGAGCAGGGGGAGAAGGAGGGGGGGGAGCGGTGGGGGGTGAGACGTTAGCTGGGATGCTGAAGAGGAGGGGGGGGGTGAGGGAGAGGCTGAGCAGGCGGTTGCTAAGGGGCAGAGGCAGGGCAGCAGCGATGGAGCAGATAGAGAGGGAGGAGAGGCAGAGGGACAGAGAGGCCCGGGTCAACCAGTGGTGATGCTGCTTGTGCTGCTGGTGGTGATGCGGGTGGTGCTGGTGGTGCTGGTGCTGGTGATGCTGGTGGTGCTGGTGGTGATGCGGGTGGTGTTGGTGGTGATGCTGGTGCTGGTACCGCAGTACCGTAGTACCGTAGTACCGCAGTACCGTAGTACCGCAGTACCGTAGTACCGTAGTACTGGGAGCACACCTACAGTGTGGGCATTGGTACTACCTACCGGTGGTATCTGTCCTTCATGTCATGTCCGGTCGAATGAAGAAGACACTCATGGTTACAATGGCTGCTATGTATACCCTGTTGTTGACATTGTAAATATGCATGGGTGGGCGTACTGTAATTTAAGCTGGGCACTGCCATTGTACTCCAATCTACCATAACTCATAAATCTAGTTTACACACATACAATGTGTAACAATATGAGCATCTACACCTAGGACTACCATAAATGCTTGAATTCATGGAACTATTCCAAGCTTACAGCAAGAACAATAAATAAGTGAAGGAAGTACCTTCCCTTCCAAATTCCCTGCCAGCCACCCTCCATTCTTAGCAGCGGATCTTGCACAACTCACAACCATATGCTCCATCTTGCTCCACCTTCCCCTTTCCCCTGTCCCCCTTACCCCTGGCCCTGCTTCTCCCCACCCCTCTCCTTACTCCACCTTCCCCCTACCCTGGTCCCCATTGCCCTTCCTTTTTCCCGTGCCCTTCTCCCGCTGAGCTTCTTCCTCCGCTGCCGGGACATGTGCCGGAACTGGTACAGAATCCACAGGAAGGGAGGGCCAACTCACACCCACAGACTCCTTCCCGCCCCGCCCCTCCCCTCTTTACTCCACCTTCCCCTTGCCCTTGTCCGCTTTGCCCTTACCCCTGCCCTTCCCAGTGCCCTTCTCCCCGCTGAGCTTCTTCCTCCGCTGTCGGAACATGTGGCGGTACAGGTGCATCCACAGGAACGGGTAGCACAGCAGCAGGCCCTGGGGGAGGGGAGGGAGAGAGAAGGGGGCCAAAGCGGGGGTGGGGAATCAAACAGATGGGGAGAGGAGTTGAAAGGGGTGTGAATGGGAAGAGGAGAGGAATAGGTGAATCCACAGGTACGGGTACCACAACAGCAGGCTTTGGAGCGGTGAAACAAGTGGGGAGTGGAGTAGGAAGGGGTGTGGATGGTGAGAGGAGTGCGAGGGGTCGGAAGTGGTTGAAAGGAGTGTGTACGGGTGCCTGAACTGAACTTGTGCCGGTACAGGTGCGTCCATTGGAACGGGTAACACAGCAGCAGGCCCTCACACAGGAAGGAGGGCGGGGTGGAGACGGGAGTGGGGAGCGGAGAGTGGGGGAGTCGGGAATGGTGAGATAGGGTGGGATACAGGTGCGTCCAGAAGAAAGGGTGGCAGAGAAGCAGGTAGACATGGGCAAAAAAAATCGCATCGCATCGCATTTAATCGCGTTTTTGCGATGGCGATGTTTTTTTTTTTTTTTAAATCATCGCGCGATGCGATGAATTAATATCGCGCGATTTAATTTAAATCGCATTTTAATCGCGCTTAAAAAACGCGATTTAAATGCGATATGCGATTTTTTAAAAATCGCGCGCGATATTGCACTGAAACCCACTCTGAAACCCACTACGAAACCACACTGGTTATTTCCACTCTAGCTTACGACTGCCCGTGAGTCAATTTCCCCACAGCCATGGTTTTTTTCTGTTTTTTTTGGTAGTTTTTTAATTCTGTTTTAAAACGCGATGCGATTTAAAATCGCATTTTGCGATTTAATTAAATATCGCATGCGATTTATTAATACATCGCGGGTAAAATGCGATGTGCGATTTTTTTTTTTTGGAAAAATAAATCGCGCGATGCGATTTAAAATCGCATCGCTTTTTTAAACATCGCACCTGCATGCGATGCGATTTAAATCGCAATCGCGTTTTGATCATGTCTAGAAGCAGGCTCTGGAACAGTGAAACAAGCGGACAGTAAGAAGAGCTTTCACAACACCACATGTAACTCACAGCACCACATGTAACTCACAGCACCACATACAGCTCACAGCATCACATGCAACAAACAGCACCACATGTAACTAACAGCACCAGATGTAACTCACAGCACACGTAACTCAAGGCATATGTAACTCACAGCACATGTTACTCACAGCACATGTAACTCACATCACATGTAACTCACAGCACATGTAACTCACATCACATGTAACTCACAGCACATGTAACTCACAGCACATGTAACTCACAGCAGCCGAAGGGTCTAGTATGAACCAGGCAGATGGCCGAAAGATGAAGTCTGAGCTGAGCAGACTCAGACTCAGTAATCACCTTGAGGCCCTCAATGTCATTGAGTCGACTAGAGACGAGGCACGTGAACCAAGCAGTGCACACAACCAAGTGGTAGTGTTGGAAGGGCAGGAAGGCGAAAGGTGGGCTCTGGGCAGACTCAGGCACTGGCTAGGGGCCCTCGGCCCACCACTCAAGCCGTGCACTCACAACAACGAAGTGGTAGTATTCAAAGGGCAGCATGCCGAAGATGTGCTGGAAGGGCTTCTCCGGGCGGATGAGCGGCAGCGACAGATACATGAGCGTCACTGGAGGCGAGGGAAGGGAAAGGGGGGGGGGGGAGGGGAGGGGAGGGGGAGCGAGGAAGGGGGTTTCTGAGAGTGACGTAGAAGGGCAGGTGGGCGAAGATGTGGTGGAGGGAGGGGTGGACGAATGGGGGGAGGGGGGGACGAATGGGGGAAGGGGAGGAGGGGGGGACGGATGGGGGAAAGGGCGGAGGGGGGGACGGATGGGGGAAGGTGGGGAGGGGGGGACGAGTGGGGGAAGGGGGGAAGGGGGGGACGAATGTGGGGAGGGGGGGAGGGGGGGACGAGTGGGGGGAGAGGGGGAGGGGGGGACGAATGTGGGGAGGGGTGGAGGGAGGGACGAATGGGGGGAGGGGGGGACGGGGGGAAGGGGGGACGAATGGGGAGAGGGGGGGAGGGGGAGACGAGTGGGGGAGAGGGGGAGGGGGGGACGAATGGGGGGAGGGGGGGATTGGTGTAGTCGAATGGGGTGATTTCGGGAGAAATGCGGACAAGTGACCAATGTGTGGGAGACTGTGGGAGGAAGAAATGGATGGGAGCAGGTGCAAATAGGAATAGAGTAGTTCACGTCCAAGAGAAGACGGTTATCAAGTCGTTGTTGACGGCAACTTAGCAAAGATAACGAAAGGACACGGGAAACGCGGGAAGGGGGAGGGGCAAGGGAGAATGAAAGAGGGGGAGAGGGCGAGCAAAGCGCGAAACTGAGATGAAGTAGACGAGAGGAAGAGAGGAAGAGAGGAGGCAGGATAGATGGGTAGGGAAAATGAATAGAACATGGTTTCTCAACTCACTTTCCCCAGCAAAGATGCCGATAGGGTAGAGGGGGATGAAGGCAGTGTATCTGCATGGGATGAGAGAGTGCGAGGCGTGGCGAGAGGGAGAGATGGGACGGAAGGACAGGGGGGATGGAGAAGGGGAGTGAGGAGTGGAGGTGGTTGAATTGAAGAAGTACAAGAGAGAAGGAAGAACAGGACAGGGAGATGCTGGAGGGCAGAGGGCGCAAGGCAAGGCACTGCAGGAGGCGGGTATTGAGACATGGTATTTCCAGAGGAGCAGCAGCAGAGCGGATTGGATTGGATTGGATTGGATTTGGGAACTATGATGTGAGCAGAGGGTGCAGACAATGAATGCACTAGAGCAAAGGTAAAGCTGGGGATGAAGAGAGTGCAGGATAGGTGACCAAGAAGGCGACGGCTTGAAGTGAGGACGGTAAAGCTCATCCATAGACACTCCACGCAACAAGTAGCCAGCGCACAACACAAGAAGCCATCCCGTGCTTGCTCTATGCCTGTCCTGAGTAAGTGCGCAAGCCTCACCGTACCATTTATATGGGGAGGAGGGGAGCCTCACTCACTCACCTGAGCCACGTGAGCCACGCAGGGCAGCAGCCCAGCAGCGAGAAGGCGTACTGGGGGTACCGGATTATCTGCGCAGGAGGGAGGGGAGGGAAGGAAGGAGGGAGCGGAGCGGAGGGGAGGGGAGGGGAGGGGAGGGGCGGTGAAGGGAGAAGAAGAGGGGGGGGAGAGTGACGACTTTAGGGTCGGCGTGGACAAGTCCAGGGCAGTAGGCGAGCACGCAGCAGGTGAAGGCGAGGATATAGCATCCGCAACAGCAGATTGTGCAGGAGAGGAGGCAGTTGCAATTGCAACTGCAGATGTTGTTGCAGTGAATGCTACTTCCTCTCTTGCATCACCTGCTGCTGAGCTGAGGCTGCTATCTCCTCCCCTATACCTGCTAGTGCGGCCGCTGCTGCCTCCTCTCCTGCACAATCTGCTATTGCGGATGTTGTGGTGTCCCTTGCACCTGCTGCACCCACCTTGATGCACCCACCCACCTATTACATGGATGCTAAGAGCGCTTGAGAGAGAGAGAAGAACCTCAAAGCGAGAGTACCTCAGAGAGCGACCAGGTGACCAAGAGGATGAATACGGAGACGTGCGCCTGAATCTGCAGCAACGGCGGGGGGGAGAGGAGAGGGGCACGAACATGTTAGAATATGTGTAGACTGCTAAGGCTATAGCATAAAGGTGTAGTGTACAGTACACCATTGGTGGGCGCACACCACTTGGTGGGCAGACACTAGGGCTGGTGTTTAACCCCAACCCATTGACCACAGTAACAGTGGATGGCTAGTAATGGTGGTCCAATTGAACCATTATTGACGACTCCATTGACAGTGGTCAACTCAACTCAACCATTATTGGCCCCCAACTAGACATGGGCAAAAAAAATCGCATCGCATCGCATTTAATCGCGTTTTTGCGATGGCGATTTTTTTTATTTTTTTTTTAATCATCGCGCGATGCGATGAATTAATATCGCGCGATTTTATTTAAATCGCATTTTAATCGCGCTAAAAAACGCGATTTAAATGCGATATGCGATTTTTAAAAAATCGCGCGCGATATTGCACTGAAACCCACTCTGAAACCCACTACGAAACCACACTGGTTATTTGCACTCTAGCTTACGACTGCCCGTGAGTCAATTTCCCCGCAACCATGTTTTTTTCTCTTTTTTTGGGGTGTTTTTTTTTCTGTTTTAAAACGCGATGCGATTTAAAATCGCATTGCGCGATTTAATTAAATATCGCATGCGATTTTTTAATACATCACGGGTAAAATGCGATTTGCGATTGTTTTTTTTCGAAAAATAAATCGCGCGATGCGATTTAAAATCGCATCGCTTTTTTAAACATCGCACCTGCATGCGATGCGATTTAAATCGCAATTGCGTTTTGATCATGTCCACCCCCAACCAATAGTGTTGGCCTGGCCAGCCAACTGATTCGCCCCACCCCACCCCACCCCACCCACGATAGTGAGCAGCACCTATCTCTCATCCAGATCTCGTACATGTAAACCTCCTCCAACCTCAGTGCACTCATCATGACTTGTGTTGTGTTTCTCACAGGGGCGAGGAGGCGAGAGACGGGGGAAAGGAGGGGCGACGGAGGGAGGGGGGGAGGAATAGATAGGTATAAGAGCGAAGATGAGAATGGGGGAAGGCGGCAGCATGACAGGTAGGGTCGTCCGAGTGCGAGTAGAAACCGTACTGAACTGAGTGTAAAAGGGCTGCCGCATGAGCGTTATCATGTTATGGCATGAGTGCTATGGCATGGGTGTAGTGGCGTGAGTTCTATGGCATGGGCGTAGTGGCATGAGTGCTATGGCATGGGTGTAGTGGCGTGAGTTCTATGGCATGGGCGTAGTGGCGTGAGTGCTATGGCATGGGCGTAGTGGCATGAGTGCTATAGTATGCGTGTAGAGGCATGAGCGCTACGGTATGGGTGTTGTGGCATGAGCGCTATGGCATGGGTGTTGTGGCATGGGTGTTGTGGCATGGGTGTAGTGGCATCAGTTTTGTGGCACGGGTGTTTTGTTGCACGAGTGTACTGCAAAAGCACAGACAGTACAGCTGCTCGGTCGTGCAATGCCTCATAAGTTGGTAAAGCTCACGTGGCAGGCAACACCAGGGCACCGACACCAGCAATGCCTATAGCTAGCACCCCCTCACTCCCTCACTCACTCACTCACGCCACGCCCCCCTCACCTGCTGCATCAGTCGGCCCAGCACTGTGAAGAGAACAGTGGAGTCGGCCCAGCACTGTGAAGAGAACATGGGAGCGGCCTCTCCACTGCATGAGGCTGTGCGCAGCAAGGCTCTACTCACGAGGCAACAGCAGGGTAGCGAAGCCAGCAAACCTTTTAACCCGTCAATCCCATCAATCCCCTCAGTCCCCCCAGCTGACCTGCGGCAGCCGGCCCAGCACGGTGAAGAGCACGTGGGAGCGGCCGCTCCATTGCATGGCTGCTGTGAGCACGCCGCTGTGCACCAGCCCTGGGAGGAGCGAGGGGCGTGGAGGTGGGGAAGGGCGTACGGGGGGACGGAGGGAGAGAGGGAGGGATGGGGGGGGGGGGGGGGGGGGGGGGGGGGGAGAGGAGGTAGGTAGGGAGAGAGGGAAAAGAAGTGAGGGTGAAGATAAGGGAGTGAAGGGAAAAATGGAGGGTGCGGAATGAAAGTGGGGGGTTTGTGTGGAAAAATGGTGTGGGCTATTCATGGGAAAGTAACGGGACAAAACGTAAGGGAGGGGCAGGGAAGGAAGGGCAAGGGAAGGGAGGGCAAGGGAAGGGAGGGCAAGGGAAGGGAGGGCAAGGGAAGGGAGGGCAAGGGAAGGGAGGGCAAGGGGAGGGACGGGAAGGTGAGGGACGGGAAGGAAGGGGGGAAGGGAAGGGGAGGGAATGGAAGGTGAGGAAAGAGAGGGGAAGGAAAGGGAAGGGAAGGGGAGGGAAGGGGAGGGAAGGGAAGGGGAGGGGAGGGAAGGGGAGGGACGAAAATACATACGCTGAGGAAGTAGAGTGGAGAAAAAAACAAGGTGCACAAGAGGGGCGGGGCAAGCCGCCGGAACGGCAGGTGAGAACAGAAGCCAAGGTAGCAGGGCGGAGAGATAGAGAGGGACGGCACGCGGCAAGGAGGCAGGGCTGAGAGTAAGTAGCGTGCACTCACAGCTACGCCTACTTACACATGCTATCAGCCGCGATACCAGCCAGACTACCCTGCAACCTACCCGCGAACCTATTGCGCCAGACTAACCGGCGTGACTGGTGACCCCCCCAATCATGACCCCCTCGCACCTGTGGCGGCGTGCAGCACCTCCAAGACAGACGCCAGCTGGCAGTAGCCTGACGGGATGGAGGCGGGGGGGAGGACGAGGGGACGAGAGGGAGCCCAGGAGGGGCGCGGGGGACAGGAAAGAGGGCCAGTGGAGAGGATCGGGAGGGGGAGAGGGAGGAATGATAAGGGAAGTAAGGACGGAGAAAGAGGGTGGACTACAAATTTGCATCTTCCCTACAGAAAGACGCGTAGTGACGGTGTGCATAGTGACGGTGTGCATAGTGACGGTGTGCATGGTGGCTTGTGGCGTGTGCCATGAAGAATGAAGCGAGTGAGAAGATGAGGCTCCTTAAAACACGTATAATCTGGCGCGATCTGACCTTGACAGGGCATGAAGTGGCATATGAGGTATGGTTGCGGCATGCAGAGAGGCATATGGTCCACTTGATGGCTTACCGACGATTGGGCCCGCGACAGCGTACGCGTTAGAGACGGACCCCGATACAATGGCATCGTGCAGCAGCAGCACGAGAGCCGCGGCCCTGGGAAGATACCCGCAAGGCGCGGACGGGGGGACAGGGGGGCGCGGACGAGGGGGGAGGGATCGCGGGAGGGAAAACCGCGGAAGACGGGGTAGACGGGAAAGGGGAAAAGCGCAGTGGAATGATTAGGGGAGGATGATCGTCTACAGAGAAGCCGCAATGAGTGGGGCAGTGATTCACGGTGACGCGGGAAGTAGAGAAGCCAAGCGGAGACGAGGAGGAGTTGAAAAGTATTCCGCAAAATAGGGGCCACTTTGAAATTGTGTTCTTGCAGAGGGGTGCTACTACAATGCGTGATTGATATAAAGGAAACGGTTGTCTCTGTTGGATTGATTCTCCTGGTCCTACCATCCGAGGGCTTGCGCGAGGTTGTACGCCGCGAGATACGACTTAATTATTGACGCCATGGCGCGGCACGGCACGAGGCGCCACAAAACCGTGATGTAATGCAACAGCGGCGAGAATTCTTAAAATACACCTAATGCTTAAAGAATGGACGACGGACAGGCGGAAGATTGGCGCGGCGGAGTGCGAGCCTGAGCATGCGCGTCTGAAAACAATGTCAATGCATTTACGACTATTGCAGCGCTGCCTACGGTTATGCGAAATCAGATGTGTGTGTCACACCACCCACTGCTTGTGCCACCATACGATCATCAAGTGTGAAATTGCGAGAAGCGTGATACGTGAATGGGTTGACTGGCCGAAAAGTCGCCCGAAGCTGCATCCACACCAAACCAAACCACCAAAATGTGGTGGTGGTGGGAGTGGACAGTGATGGCGAGGAGTTTCAAACTGACCGAAGATGTTCAAATTACACCACGCGTAAGCAGAATACGGAGAATGTAACCTTCCTGTTGAGTGTATTGTATAATGTCCAGGACTGTTAAATTCCATCTTGTCCATCAAATTCAGCACGAAATACACAGATTGGTGGTAGATGACTTCCGGAAACAAACGGAACTGGACAACCGCCTTACAGGCGTCCGATGGCTGCTCTCGTGCTACGTGGAGGCTTCTGCTGAAAGGCTGCAATCAACCCACAAATCAAACTGCGCCTCGACCAAAAACCTCGTTATCGAGGTGGTGCAATGATGTGGTGTGCGATCAACACTATCACATTCCGGTTCACTCACTACGGAAGGCGCCACACCATCTTACATTTCTAAATCAGATTCGAACACTCTTCACATGTCATGACGAATCTCATTGCTAGGACCAATTCAAGCGTTTCAAGCACACCACTACTCCACTGCACGCATGGGAGTGGAACACATTCCCTTTCCTTTTTTCTGGCGACTACAAATAGTTTCCAACAGCTTCCATGGGCAGACTTCTCTATTCGGTTGGCAGTTCTAGAACCATGCTCTGGTCTAGAGGGATAAGAAAACTCAGAAAAAGGGTGCAGGTCTGTATTCAAAACGGGGATCGTTCGGACAAAGCTCCCCACTTGGACTCCAACCAAGGGATGCACCCAAGACTCCCTTAGTCGGTCAAAGGCACCTTATGAAACATTATAATTTTTTAACACACGCAGTGTTTTTCAAAAATTGTGTATTGTGAAAGCGAAGCTGATTGTACTGAAGCGTTGGTCATCGTCGAAGCGCGCTACTCGCCCTTCTCCAACTACATATACGTGGGTTGGAGCTCATTTACCTCCACCCACGTCTCTCATTTTTCAAACGGCTCAGTCAACTTTCCCGCTCTAGCTTTTCTCCCGTTCAAGCTGGTTAAGACTAGAACTTTGCCTTGCGGCGAGTCTCCCTCAACACTTCTTTCCGATATTTTTAAGTTTCACCGATCCGTCATGGCTCCGACTACGAATAATCGCGGCGAGTCCAACGTCGTCACCGGCCACCCCAATTCCGAGTCTACTCGCCAAGCCCCGGAAATTGCGGGCGACCGGCGCAACAAGCGTCGGGCAGAAGAAGGGGCGGCTGCCCCAACTGGGTTGACGTTCTGCTGGGAGGGGGCGAGGTCAACAATCAGCCTGCTGATGCGCCCCCGCCCCCTTCCGAGCCACATGCGCAAGTGGCTGAGCAGAGCCAGCCACTCGCGCCTGACGCCGAGCAGCAGTACGCGCCAGCCCGCAAGTGGCGGGTCCTTCTCGCCAGCGCAAAAGGGGGCGCGCGGCCGCCTCGTCTGACGTGCCACCCACTCCGACATTGACCCCGTCGTTGACCCCTGCGCAGGTCAACGCGTCGTTGACGCTGTTACAGCAGCAGGCGGCGAGTGTTACGGCCGTCGAAACTGCTCAACCTGCTGCTTCTGAATCTGCTAAAAAAGAACCTGCAAAAACAGAAAAGGCCACACGCGGAACCAAGACACCACGCCTCGCCAAAGATGCTGTCGCCAGCATCCCGCCTGCCCCGGCGGCCGACAACGACAGTGACGACTCCGACAACGACGCTGGTGAGGCCCCCGACATTGCTGCAAATTCAATTCCCATGGAGCACCTCCCACCACTCCCGACCACTAACACCACCCTCTCGGCGGCGTCCTTCCTCAATGCGGCTGTGCGCGAGCAAGCGGAAGTCCTGGAGGACCTTCGGGCATACCTGAAGCACGCTGAGTTCAAGATGCAGCACGGCGACGCTCCGGGCGGCCTCGAATTCCTCGCCGACGCGCTCGCCCTTATATCGCGACGCTTCCAAGTCGAAGACGCCTCCGACTTTCGCACGGCCAAGTGTTTCAAGCTGTACCAGCAGAAGAGTCTGCTTACCTCAAGTCCTTTCAAACAGGCCGTCGCTGACGTGGCTGCAATGGACCGCGCCGAGGGCGGGTTTGCTCGTGGCAATCGCGGAGGCGGCCGCATGCCCATGCCGTTCGTGCCAAAGCGTGGTCCGCCGCCTACGGAAGAATTCCGAGGCTTCCAAGGCAGTTGCTTCCGCTGTGGCCAGTCGGGGCATGTGGCCAGCGGCTGCCTGGCGATTGGGCATGGTGGCCAAGGACACGCACCAGTGGTGTAGGGGTCGGGCCATGGGCGCTTGCGCAAGTGGCGCAAGGCGCACGGCACCCGGTGTGTGCGTAGGCCATTGGGCCCACCCCTTAGGGGCACGGGTGGCAGAGGGCCAGCCCTAGTGTAGGCCAATTGAAGGCCTTAGGCTCAGAGCAAGGGAAGGGGAACATACCCCATCGGTCCCAAATGATAGCCCGACCTTGCAAGGCGGACTTTGCATGCCTAGGAGCATGGTTGAGTAGAGATGAAGCTTGGTTAAAATAAGAAGCCGTGGTCCTCCGTTTTTTTTTCAGGTCTTGGCCCCTAAATATAACCAGAGAAATGGGGAAGCAGCACCAAAAGAGGCGCAGCAAAAAAAAAAAAAAAAAAAAGATCGAGCACGAAACAGGGAAGCATAGTGGGTGGCTCAACCCTCGCTACATGTCACGCAGCACCCCCGGCCAGAGAAGGAAGCCCATCAGGAACACCAATGGACCGCCACTTACCCTCACATAGTTGCTCATCGATTGGACATGCAAATTTTTTTTATTTTTTTTTAAATAAAAAAATTCAAGCATTATGCGAGCCTCACGAGGCGCCTACCCTCCAACCCGGTGTGCTACACCCTGGACCCCAAGCAATACCCCTCAGTGGGCATACAGGAACAGCCACACCAACCTCATCCAAGGCTGCCCAGCTTGGCATGGAAAAAAAAAAAAAAAAGTTACAGAAGCACGCGCGCACGCACGCGGTATGGCCCACGAACGGGAACAGCAACAAAAAAACCGCACGCATGCCACACAAGCATGCAAGAGGTGGTTAGAGGAAAGACCAAAAAAAAAAAAAAAAAAAAAAAAAAAAACACGGGCATTGTGTCTCAAAACCCAAGAAATGAGAACGCAAGCGAAAGAGGCAATAGAGGGTAACATGCGTTCGCGAGTAGAAGCGCGAGTGAAGGCACAAGTTGTGGGAATATGAGGGCAAAAAGGGAAGGACAATAAGCGGAAACTCATGAACAAACATCGGGGCGCAGGTTCGAACGCAAGCTCGGCATGCGCGGACGCGCAAACCGACACACACGCATGTCACGCCACTCAGACTCGCTCAAATCACAGGCAACCACCGACCTAAGCATCTTGCTCGCACGTGGCACCTCTGTCCTGCACGCCCTCCTTAGCCACTAGGCTTCACACTCCCCCCCCCCCCACGCTCTAGGTTTCCGGCAGGCCTTAGCCCTGCAGATGAACTTAAGGATGCGTCCCTTGCTTCTCCTTGCATGACGTCACTCCCACAGGCACCCGACTTCGCGAATGCGCACACAACAGTAACCCCTACAAATACGCGGTTACTGACAAGATGGTCACCCAAATGTGTGGCCGCCTACGTACCACGTTCGCTTGGTGGAGCTCGTGGTGCACTAGCAGTTTCATACTCTCAGTCATTGCCAAAGGATACTGGATGCCATGGAAACTCGGGCCGCCGCCGGCCTTTCACGATCGCAACCATACCGGCGCACGCATCCACGAAGCATTCACGCGTACGGCCATCATTGAACTCACCGAGACCGGCGTGGCCATCCAAATTCCTGCGGCGAAACTGAGATGCATAAGCCCACTCAACGTGGTCGAGCAGAAAGACAAGTGTCGCCTGATTCTGGATCTCCGAAAGGTGAACGACGCACTAATCGTCCCCAAATTTAAATATGAGGGACTCAACCGTGTAGCAGACCTCGCTCGCCAAGGAGATTGGATGTTCTCCATCGACTTGAAATCAGGCTATCACCATGTCGACATCCATCCATCGTGCTGGACGTTCCTCGGCTTTGAATTCGACGGGCACACATACGCCTTCCGATCCTTGCCGTTCGGCCTCGCCACAGCACCATTCGTCTTCACGCAGCTCATCAAGCAATTAGCTCGGCGATAGCGGGAGCAGGGGGTCCGCGTGATACCCTACGTTGACGATATCCTCTTCCTGTGCCCGACCCAGGCACATGCTCAAGCCACGTGCCAACGGGTCGTTATCGATCTCAAGGCTGCCAGGCTCGTACTCAACTAAAAAAAGTCAAAGCTGATACCAACACAGCACCTTCGGTTCCTTGGCGTAGAACTCGACACACAGGCCGGCCGGTTCTCCATCGGCGAGGAGCGGCGAGCCACACTCAATGCCACCCTCCATGCCCTACTGCGCGCAAGCTCAGCCCAGCGGAAAGTCCCAGTCCGGCAACTGGCCCGAGTTACAGGCATGCTGGCATCGATGGCTGTCGCACTCGGCACCACTACCCGAGCGTTCAGCCACGCCATGCTAGAAACAATCAACGGCGCGCTGACATGGACCAGCATGGTCCTCCTCTCCCCACCCGCCATCGAAGAGCTGAGATTCTGGATCCAAGAGTTCGACCGTTTCAACGGTGCCCCGTTCCATGTGCGGCACAGCTATGATGCAGTCATCCACGTAGACGCAAGTGCCCACAGCTGGGGTGCCACGCTGAACACATTCCCTGGAGCCGCGATAGAGGCCAGCGCAGCAATGCCCGAAGCTCTTTATCCAACCTCCAGCACACAAAGAGAGCTCGCCGGCGTGCTGTGGGCGCTACAGACGTACGCGCCTAGAATCCGGAACAAACACGTGCTAGTGCGGGTGGACAACCAGGGCGTATTCTTCATCCTTCGCAAAGGAGGTTCCCAAAGTCCCGACCTCACCACCACGTGCAAAGGCATCATAAAAAAATGCATGGAGTTCGAGATTCGGCTAATCATCGAATGGATCCCACGCGATCTGAATGGTCGCGCAGACGAGCTCTCCAAGCTAGTCGACCATGATGACTACTCGTTGAAGCTCCCATGGTTTCGCCTCCTCGAGCGTCGCTGGGGGCCCCACTCCATTGACCTATTCGCCAACCCCCAAAATGCACACTTGCCGCGTTTCTGCTCTAAGGTCCCCCACCCCGATGCCACAGCAGCCGACGCCTTCTCACTTGCCTGGACACATCGTGGACACATCCAAGCACATATCCCTCTTACACACGGCAGCCAGTGTCTTACAGTCGGCACACACAGTCAAGCATTCTCAGGCATAGGATTACCCAACAGTACTATCGTCGCACTCCGCGTGATATTTGACTAACTAGACTCCTCTGCATGTCCCCATATCTGCTTCCAAAGCTCCAACACGACCTGCTTTCCATGCTCGCCCGCTCTCGTGCCGACTCGACCATCCGAACATACGAGCCTTACTGGGTGAAGTTCCGCGCCTTCTACACGAAGGTCAACCTAACGTTCTTGCTGGCATGGGACATGACCCTCGCGCTCTACCTGGTGTATGTCAAACAACACAAGGCCTCCTTGTCGGTGGTTCAGCTCACATGTTCCGCCGTGAGCTTTGCCCACAGGATGACAGGCTCAACATGCCCAACCACCGGCCCTTTCACCTCCCAAGTGCGCGAATTCGTGAAGCGTCACTGCCCGCGTCCTAACAGGATTAAAGAGTCAGTCTCACTCCATCAGGTCCACGATATGGCAGCCTCCTTCCTACAGTCAAACAACCCAGCCGTGTTCCAAAAAGGATTGATCCCGATTCTCATGTACGCCAGTTTTTTGCGCTACTCGGACCTGGTGGCCATCCAATGGCAGGACATCCAATTTAAAGATGAAGCGATGTGGCTATTCATCCCCCACTCGAAAACCGACCAAGCCGGCCAAGGCACATGGATCCCTATCGCAGCAAGCCCCGGACCCTTTTGTCCAGTCCAGGGCACCCAGAGGCTCATCCAACTCGCAGGATACAGCCCCCTGTCCTCGGGACCGCTCATCCGGGGCTTCAGACCCCACCTACCGAGCCACAGCACAGCTAGGCCGCCCTCATACACCACAATCCGCAACTGGTGCAAGGAAGCCTTCGCGAAAATCGGTTTGGGAGAAGAGCACCTAGGCACCCACTCCTTTCGGAAAGGCGCGGCCACAGTTGCTGCCAACTCCGGGGTTCCTGACAGGATCTTCAAACGCCTGGGCCGTTGGCGTAGTGAAACCGCGAAAGAGATGTACGTCACGCCCGTGACCGATCATCTGGTTGGCGCGTCTCGTCGCCTGCAAGACCCGGCGGCGGCACCATCCTCTGCACAACACGCCGAGGCACTTCTCCGCCACCGCAAGCCCCCACTGCACATGTCTCAACGACCCCACTTGAAATGAGAACGATGCCTATTGCAAAGGACAAGAAAGCAAGCTTTCTCAATATTATATTTTTTTAACACACGCAGTGTTTTTCAAAAATTGTGTATTGTGAAAGCGAAGCTGATTGTACTGAAGCGTTGGGCATCGTCGAAGCGCGCTACTCGCCCTTCTCCAACTACATATACGTGGGTTGGAGCTCATTTACCTCCACCCACGTCTCTCATTTTTCAAACGGCTCAGTCAACTTTCCCGCCCACCCCCCCCTCTAGACAACCGCGCATCTCCAATTGACAAACGGTCACTTGAACGGGAGCGCACAACTAGAATCATGATGTGTGCATGTTTAGATTCTTATATGTTAGTAAGCGACTATTGTACCTAGCCCACTTGAAATGAGAACGATGCCTATTGCAAAGGACAAGAAAGCAAGCTTTCTCAATTCAGCAAGTATAAAAGAGTCTTAGGCATTGGTGGACGGTTGTTTTGAGCTCCCAGCACAGAAAGATTCCCGAATCAACAAACTCAATTCCTGTGGTCTCTCCTAACAAGTAGAGAGAGAACCCAAGCCGAAGATTAGCAACCTGCCAGTAGTGCAAATGCCAACACAAAGCCCACTTGCACAAGAAGTGCATGCTCTCCTCAGCTTCCTTTGTGCACATGGGGAAGCACCTGCTCCTTGTCCACGTTAGTACGCCTCGGGCCTGCCGTTCCTTGACCTGTCAATGTTCACCGCTGGTGAATCACGTCAGCGAGCAATAATACCGCAAGGGAACGAAACACATGTGCGATAACAAAACTCGTGGGAGTAAGTGCATTAAGGGAGTGATTGTTGGCGCTGCAGGCGAAATGTAAGCTCTCTAATTCGACTCGGATCAAAGAAGTCGACTTCAACGCACCGTATTCCTCCTTGCCGCAGGGACCACCGCCTCGAGTGTCTGTGAGCCCGATCTGCTCCGTGAACTTGTCTCTGGGCCTGGCAGCTGCAGCGCCCTCCTTCACAGTGATTCCATCCGCATCCGACAGCCGCTTCACCTCCTGCGAGCTGCGATTCATTCCCGCCATGCTGCAGCGGTGCCACGACCCAAGTGGATCTTGAAGATCTCGCAAAAGGAATCCTTCCTTACGACGATGGCTAGCTACTCTTGGGTGAGTGTGGATACTACTACGACGGGTTCAAGTTGACTGGCAAAATTAGGCGCTGGGGTTCAGAGGCTTCTGCGTCGACGCCTCCTGGTCGTGAGTATATAATAAAGCTCGTGCTAGGACCACAATTCCAAAACGTTCAATCTCCGGTGTTAGAAAGAAACCCATGCCGGAATCGCGACACGGGAGCGCGGGTTCTGCACAGGCCAACAGAGAGGACGGCTTTGGGGTGCATGTTTGCCTGTTGGTGCCTCTGTTCCAGCCATGAGAGGACGACATGCACGGCACAAAGAGGGAGGCGAAATGTTGCCCTTGCTTTGGCTTGCGCAAAATGCTCCATGCATTCGGTGTCCCGATAAGAGCCTCGAGCTGCTCGAGAACAGACAAAGTTGCTCAAAAGCTCCATCTTTCTCCTGCCTATCTTCTATGCCTGAGCACGTTACATGTGCTACTCAAGGTTCCTAGTCTATAACTTCCAACTTTTCACCATCATAAATCAATTGATTTTCCTACGTTTGGGAAAGTGGAACCATTTGATTAAAGCGAGAGTATACAATAACTTCAAGGTTCAAAGGACTTTGAGCCTTGAAGGGGTTTCACGAAAATAGCGAGGGTCGCAAGAAACCTATCACGCCCTACGCGAAAGGAGGGGCTCTCGCAACCAGTCAAAGACACCCGCGAACACTGGCAAATCGCACGGGTTGGGGGCTGGGGACACACCAAACCCAACATGCCTACAAAGCACGTTCGCAATGACCGGCAACACGAACTGGGGAATGCGTGTCTACGAGGCAGAATGAAAACAACAAGGTCAGAAACTAGGCGAGGATACATAGGATCTCATATAAACAGGGGCGAAGAGTATGAAGCAGAGAAGTGGTTGCAAACATGCCCTTGAAACGCAACACTTCATCCCAAAGTTTCCACCGTAGAACAGAGATAGTAGAAGCGCACGCAGCAGAACTACCAACAAGGACCGAGCTAGCACAGCTGGTGAGCGGGAGAGCGAGCTAGCCAATCACCACTCCTTACTCGCATCATACAGGGCCGGATTGCCAAGTTGCAGCGAGCAAAAAAATGCTATAGCGCCACAACCGATGAAAGCATATAGCATAACCCCTGCACATTCTCACGCAAGCATCCCTTTTCGTCAATGCGCACCAAGCTACCGGCCTAGTTACTAAGCACAGAGCAACCAAATGCCGTCTGGGAGCCTCTGGTCACTCTTTTGCACCTTCGTGGGGGGGCCAGTGCCTATGCGGAAAGCGTTCCGCAGAAGCCTGCAGGATCGGCATGCCACACATGCATGCGAGCCTAGATTTCGGATGCGCCAGGTTCTGCTTTCCCCATTTCTGAACGACCAACACTCTCAGAGCTAACCAAGAGAAAGTGAGGGGGGGGGGGGGGAGAGAGAGAGAGAGAGAGAGAGAGAGAGAGAGAGAGAGAGAGAGAGAGAGAGAGAGAGAGAGAGAGAGAGAGAGAGAGAGAGAGAGAGAGGGGGAGAGAGAGAGAGAGAGAGAGAGAGAGAGAGAGAGAGAGAGAGAGAGAGAGAGAGAGAGAGAGAGAGAGGGAGAGAGAGAGAGAGAGAGAGAGAGAGAGAGAGAGAGAGAGAGAGAGAGAGAGAGAGAGAGAGAGGACTTGAGGGGGAAAGAGAGAGGACTTGAGGGGGAAAGAGAGAGGACGCGCGGGAGAAAGAGAGAGGACGCGAGGGGGAACGCAAGAGGACGCGAGGGGCAAAATAGAGAGGGGATGGGAGGGTGATAGCAAGAGGACGGGAGGAGGAAAGAGAGAGGATGTGAGGAGGAAGATCAGGGATGCGAGGGGGAAAGAGAGGAAATGTGAGGGGGAAGGAGAGGGGACGTGAGGGGAAAGAGATGGGATGTGAGGG